GGGAATGCTATTTAAAACAACTCACTTTTGCTCATTTCTTTAAGTGACCTCGCGATTAAATTCTCAAGCATTCTCGAGAAAGTTAGTGTCAAACTTCTCAAGAATGCCGGCAGAGCATGTGTTATTGTGTTTTCATGAACTAACGCGAAACGTCTGTTTTTATTGAAATATGGATCACTTGAAGCCCAGTTTTCTCTCGCAGGGTCAGTTTGAGAGCTTAAGTCTCGACAAGTTCTTTTTAACTGTATTCAAAATATTACCATGCCATGAGGTTTTTTTGGTAACTTAATTTTTGCCATTATTGCTCGAATTAGAATGTTCTGCGGAAATTATCCTTAAAATTTGTTTATGGTTATCCTCGATAGGGTGTTGTTCTATAAAAAGACATTTAATACGCCAGAATCGAATGTCAAATAGTTTCCTTCAAATGAAATTTCCGAATATTCTGACCTCCTATAGATCAAGCACTAACACGAGGGACATTTACTTGAATCATAGCTCCTTCTTGAATGGATCACTATTAGAAAATTTTGTGCTTGACTAAACCACTAAACCCTGTTAACACGCCAGATTTCTGTGGCCGGTGGTGACTAGATTAACGAGGTTTCACCGCCCATGACTTTTATCCTTACGTTGCTGACGATCCACTCCCTTTAAAACATTTTTTCACCTCAAATTCGAATAAGTTTGCCCTCTTACAAGTTGAAAAGACATGTTATTGTCAGGTTTTTTTATTTGTCAACCGATTTTTGTTGAGTATTTTTGCTGGAACGGCGTGTTTTTCTTTAATCAAAAAAAATGAATAAAATAAAAACGTTCTGGGGCCTATGCCACTCCCGCTTAGCCCGCCAAACACAGCCGCGCAATGGCTGTAGGACTGGAAAGTATGTCAAGCTTGCAAAGCATTCTGGTCTGTGTGTTACTTTCTGTAAGAACTTTCAACATTTTCTCCGACCACTTGGTGATTTTTCCTTCTTGCTGTTTCTTTCTTGAGGTTCTTTCCTTAAATGTCAGAAAAAAGTCGGATGGCAGTCTTACGTTGCTTCAACTGCGATCACACGGGAAGGAGACACGAGGATTTCTTCAACATAACTAAAATTCACCCGTCATTTGCGGCGAAAGCGAGCAACCCAGAAAGTGACGAGGCCGGTCAAGACGAATCTCTGAAAGGAAAAGCTTTTCTTGTTTGCGGCGATTGTGTTTACGATCGCCTTCAAGAATGCCAGAGCTGTGCTAAAAAGGCTCCTCTGTGTATGTTTAAAATTGCAGAGTGGTTCTGTGACAAGAAAAATCGGAATTGTATCGATTGTGCTGCAACTTTTGAGGCGCTTGGACTTTTTCAGACCGGCTATCATTCCAGTGTGATCATACGCCAGTGCTCGGTTTGTCGTCATTTTAAATATTTACCATCTTTCATCAGCTGGAACAAACACAAACCTCACGATACTTTGAAGGATTGCTTCGAGTGTCAACTCCGTCGGGATATCGTGCAATACAAGAGGGAACTTCGAGATCGGTACGAAGAAAAACTTCAGCAAGAACCGGTGTTGGGTGATGACAGCCAACCGCCCAGGACAGGTGGCATTAAAGCAGTGGCGCAACAGGGCGCGACGTATGCGTCAGTTGTTACGAAAGGATTTACTGATAGTAAGCTTAAATCTTCCTCTTCAACGAGTGAAAATGGTCAGTTAAGGACTGGTGAAATCGCAACGCAATTGAGTGTTCCCAGAGAAAGTGGACTTCACACAAAGGGGAAATGTATCAACACCGGTTTGGAAGGTAAGTAGCAGTGTTTGAATCTCTTTTGCAATTTTGCTGACGCACTGTATTTGTTTCGTAGTGTTTGTGATTTTCTTCGATCACCTGATTAATTTTCTTTTATCCCACCAGAGACAACATCTAAGTTGTGTGTTATGTTATTTTAAGGACTTGTCTAGTGATAGAAATATTTGAAGTTTGTTTTTATTGTCGATCAAATATTGATTGTCTCCAGTGCAGGTGACAAAATATCAAGCTTAAACATGCAGACTTCAAAATTGCCTTAGGAGAACCGTATTTTTCTCGCTTTTTTTGAACTGGAAAATTGTTTATAACCTAATCATTGTGGGTAATCGTTACTTCCGGTGAGCAGACTTCCGTCCAGTGCAAACTTCCGTCCAGCTGCAAAGTAGTGTCAATTGCACTTTTATAGACGTTTAAAACTCCATCCTCAGGGAAATCTAATTTTCGTATGCTATGTGCATGAACCGTACATTGCATTTCAAGTTAAGATTGCTCCTCTTCTTCGCTCTATCAATTTATATACTGGCACTGATGTTAGTAACTTTCAAAGTAACCATGGGATTTAATGGTATTACCAAATAATTAATAGCAAACAGATTACATTGAAGTTGTACAAGATCAATTTGTTAACTTAGGCCAACTGACCTTGTTGTTTTGCAGAGTCATTTTGCACCAAAGTTCTCCAAGCTCTAAAGACATCATTTAGCCAACTGGAGGAGAAAACTAAGCTGGAACTTAAGCTCCTACAATCTGATCCTCAGTTTTGGCAGGTTGCCTTAAGAGACAAACTACTGCGAGTTTCGCAGCTATTTTCTAGTCAGGCAACAGACCAGATTCATTTCAATGATGCCGAGTCACGCTGGGCTTATCTTGGCACCTACACGGCAGCTCATGCCACCTTGGTTCATGCAACTGTTACATCAGGTCGATTTGAACCTCTGACAGAATTTGTGAAGAAGGCCCACAAAAAGGAGAGGTCAGTGATATAAACTTACACTGCAGTAAGAATACAAGAAAATGAAAAAATTCCCGAACAAGCATGCTGTGGATGTGACGTGGTTGAAAGCTACATTTATATATAAAAAATATTGTTAAAATAAAACAAAAATATAATATACATATAAATTTAAACATATAATTGAAATGTAAACAGGCACACTAAAACTTTGGTGACATCAATCATTCCCAGAGGCTGCAATCCTTTTGGTCAGCACCAAGCATGAGGACCTCTGGCTAAGCCACCATCACTCACCATGGTTGTTCTCTCCACCCTTGTCTACATTCAAACAGGAAGTGGGATTTTCTAAGGGTTTTTGATATTGTCTACTCAGGGCTGTCAATAAGGGCTGTAACCCTTAACACCTGCTATGGCTGAGTATGCATTAGGGACCCGTGATGCTACAAGTGAACTTGCCTATGTAGTTGATATAATTCACTCGAAAGGTAACAAGTTTGTTATGGATGTGAAGATCAAGGTTACAGGTGACTCAAAACTTAATGACAGCCCTATAGGATGTTGTGTTTCCAGTAAAAACTAAATGCACAGGCACTCAGGGCAAGGTTGGGCTGGTTAATAGTTACATGAAGTGTGCTGGACTTGCGATTAAGTGGTGCAGCATACTAACCATATTTTTCTGTGACTGCCAATGCTCACATGTACACAATATACCTGTAGATCGCATGGCTGACTAGATAATACTGTTCTTTGCAGATTGCATGTCTGCTGTCTTGGTGCAGGACCTGGTAGTGAGATTCTAGGTCTCCATCAGCTGCTTCCACCCTGCACTGAGTGGTTATTGCTGGATAACTGTGAGCAGTGGGCCCACACAGCTCAGATTCTGTTGCAAGATGTCAGTGATGTACCTTTCCGTTATGGTGCCTTTGACATTTGCAGCAACCAAGGTCGAGGGCGTAGAGGAAACCTAACACCAAACTATGCTTTCAAAAAGGTGAGTAGTGACTGTTGTCAATCCCAGCTTATATGTACATGTACAACTGTATATCATGCATCTTAGTTTTGTCTGCCAAAATTTTCCAGTGAAAAGCTGGAGATTTGTATCCTGGAAGTGCCAGAATTTTTGAAGATGACTTGACTGCTTCCAAAGACACCCAAAGAGTTCAGAAGAAGTTCCCAAGATATCCTAAGTCTGTCCTAAGTACCATTGTACCAATACTGTTACACGTTGTTGTTAACTTTTTTTTTTGTTTTCTCTTTTGTTTTTCTCTTTGGTTATTGTACCACTTGGGATGTCACAACTTTCATGCCAGAAGATGTTTTTAATCATCAGTGGGTTAAGTGGGTAAAAACAGGGTTCGTACAGGTCCTGGAAAACCTGGAAAGTCCTGGAATTTTATTGTGGCATTTTCCAGGACTTCAAAGTCCTGAAAAAAGGCTACCGTTCCTGGAATGTTCTGGAAATTTGTTAAACTCAAGTAAAAAATATGAAATGTATGTCAGACAGTAAGGAGAATTAACATTGAGATCTTGGGAGTGAAAGGGTTAATGTGAATTTTAGAGTCCTTGAAAAATCAATCTGAGTCCTGGAAATTTTAAAATAAACATTTTTAAATAACTCTTTTTTTCTTTCAATTTTCATTTTTCTTTCCTTCCTTAGGCCAAGTTGTTCCTGTTGGTGAAATTTGTCTCTGCAGTTCAGAATCTTCCAGGAGCATTCCAATATCTGGTGGACATTCTCAAACGAGCCACGCCAGGCTCCTTGTTTCTTTTTGTGGACAATGCACACATCCAAACCAAGAACTTCATTGAAGACTTGGTATTCCCTTCACGAGACAGTGTGGAACGTGAAGAGTACAAAGAAAATGAATCATTTAGACTGTACACTACATATGCAGAGTTGAACTCTGATCGTGAGGAGGGCTTAAAGTCTGCTGCTCTGTGTGAATGGGTGAGTCTTATGAGTTACTGGCTGGACAGGCATCCAATTCTGGACCTAAGGGTTAATGTCCATCTGGCTGTTAAAAAGGAGTGAGAGCTACAGACAACTCTAAAATAGGTATGAAAAAGAGAATTTGCAGTGCCAAAAGCACTTTTTCATCACTAATTTGCAGAAAGGAATTAGCTTAACTAAACTAATAACTTACTAACTAGTAACTTAAGATGATTTACTTTTTACTTTTTTACTCTAACTTATTTTGCTAAGTAGGGATTTTTGTTTTTATCTTTTCTTCAACCAAACAGGAATGGGAAAACTGTGTACATGTTAAGCTGTAGTCACAACATTTCCATTTTCAATTTAATCTTTTTATCCTGTGATAGTTGATCATTTTAGGGGAAAACAAGGTAGACCATGCTACTTAAATGATTCACTTGCATCAAAACAGGTTATCTTCAGGGTGCAATGAAAACCAATTTTCACGCTTGCCTTTCGGGCAAAATNCCCCAAAAAAAAAATTCAGCTCTAACAGTGCTTCAGTCTGTAATTTGAATTTCCTCAAAACATTCTTGCAAGAAATTTCACTTACCCATTTGGCAAGTGATGGACAGAATCCACTACCTCAGGTGGAAAATTTGCCAGCCCTGTGGCTATTATACAGGACTTTCTTAATTTTTTGCACACTGAGCTATATATAAAATTGAATTTATCCTATGCTTATCAGAAGATTCGAAAAGGCCTCAAAATGTCCCCCCAAAAAACAACAAAACAAACAAAACAAAAGGAAAAAACTATAATTATTTAACTATTTGAAAAAACAAATCTAATTTAGTGAGACTGCACAGTTGGATGTAATTCAATAATTATTACAGGGCTATCATTAAGTTTTTAAGTCACCTGTTGCCTTGATCTTCACACCTACAAAAACCGTGTTGCTTCATGGGTGAATTATATGAAATTTTTACTGCCTATGTTTACATGGCTAGTTTGCTGACAGTTTTAAGACCTAGGTTTGGCCAGGATGCATTGCGTACCGTGCAACACTGGAAACCAAATGGAAACCGCACTATCATGTTAACCAAAACAATAACAGACACGCAGAAATTGTCAAGATTAGGTCTTTAAGTCATTTCCCTTGACTGGAGCTTCACATTGCTCAAAATGCCATACATTTTGTTTTGAAAAACTGGAAAAAATGGAACACTTAACATGTACAGCAACAGGTATCATTCGGTGTTCACATACATACATATATATTTATCAAGTCATAATTAATGGCTATGAACAAAGTCAAGCCAAAATTTATTATTTAGCAACAGTTTACTGTGTCACGGTTTTACCTGTGGGTGAATTCAAAACTTGTTAATAGGTGCTGGTCACATTAGTTCTTTTAAACCATGGTAACAGCTCTGATAACCCTTTAATAGTGCCAGAATACAAAATTGATTCTCCATGATTGATTACCATGTAGTTGGGTTGATGTTCCTTATGAGAATTTGGCCATTGGTACATTGAGACCAAATCACAAGTCTGCAGACAGAACATTGTGATATGTACAATGTAGTCAGAAAAATTAGGTGTTGTTCACTGCTGGTATTTTAAGGGTTAATACTGTATTTTGTCCATGATGGTCAACCAATCAGAGCTCTTTTGCAATTTTGATTAATTATTTATAATCATAGTTTTTTTAAACTCAAAGTTACCATTCTTGGTGGCAAATTGATTTAACAAATTCAAAAATTAACAAACATTGTTGGCTTCGAAAAGGCAGCATTTATGAAGTAAGAGACAGAGACATTGCTTTCGCTTTTGTGTAGAAAATGAAATTAGCTATATAAATGCTGGTTTAATTACAGAAGTTGATAAGAAGTGGAAAGTGAAATTTAAAATCAGTGCAGAGGAAATGTTTTTACAGCTCTTGTTTGAAAAAAATTCTGCTAAATCAATTTGCCTCTAAAAATAGTTAAGTACTAAATTTTTATGAAAAAATTAAGAAAAAATATGTACATTTTGTAAGCTAAACAAAAAAGGGATATTGAGTTGTATTTATGTACAAAGGATCCCATAAACAGTGTAAAGTTGGAAACAAGTGGAACTCTTAACTGTTTTGTATTACCTACGGTACTACAGTCAAACCCCTATTAAGCAGCCACCCCTACATGTATTAAGCAGCTAGTAATCAAAGACATGATGAGGGCTTTTCTATTGTTTTTACCTCTAGCCCTTTTAAATGCCCACTATCCATTTCCTTGAAGGTGGCCATTTAATAGGGGTTCAAGTGTAGGTCAATATAAGCATTGCCTTAAACTGTTATGATAAGCTGAGTCCAGCAATATATACTTAACAAAGTTATAGTACATGTTGAGGCCTCTCCTCTCTGCAGGGGTTTGGTTGGGTGTTCATTTTTAGAAAGCAGCTATGCAAACCTACTCCCACACCTCCTGCTTCCCCCTTTTATGTTGTTTTGCGCCAGACCCTGCACTTGCATAACTCTGCAGAATCTCTCAACCCTTAGAGCCTCTGTGGAGGAGAGGTGCTTTAGATAGTTTTGGTTTAATTTCAGTGGAATTTCTACTTTAAAAAAATACAATAGAAAAAACCGGAGGAGCAAAGAGTTAAGAATAATTGCATCTAAAATAAACAAAATCTAAAATAGTGTATTTAAGAACCACTAGAAGAGACATAAGATTTTATACTCTGAAATTTTTTGAGGTGATTTCCTTGTACCAGGATCAGAGCTCACAATTTGATTCTCATACTCATAGTCTAAATGTAGCTTTAATTAATAGTTCACAGTAATTTTTTAAGGGAATGAGTCAACTTCTCAGTGAAAAAAGATCCATTTAACATTGGACTTGGGTTTGAGGTTTCTATCAGTTCATGCTTAGTTGGCAGGGGTGAAGTCCAGACAAAATCTTGATTGGTTCCTGTTTTTCGTTATAATGATTGAATGAGTTGGTAGAAGACCTGTTTTATGCACTCGCAGAGCGTATTGAAGTAAAATGAAAAAAAATCCAAATTACTTACCACACTCAAATGAAGTTAACTTTATCAGTTTTGATCAGTTCAGAAAGTCTGACTTTCAATGAGGCACACTTCTAAACTAATAGTAGTTTACTCACATTTTAACTTGTGACAATGGCTGAGGTTATTGCAAAACAAGGAAATCACCTTAAAGTTCAGAGAGTACCATAAGAAATGTGAGGAGGTCAATTGCTACTGAACAGACCATACTTGTGTTCTCGGTATAGGACTGGAACTAGCTTGCAACTGAGGCTAATGCGGGGAGTCTTTCCAAAATAATGTGAATGAGACAAATCTTTTTTCAATGATATTCCACCACATGAGCCTCCATTTTAAGCTAATTCCTGTTGAATATTGAATATGGCCTATTACAACCTCACCTGTGAGTATTCTTGCAAGTTACCAATGAATGCCATTAATTCTTGAATATTGTTGTTCTGCTAACTTTTCTTACGGTGCACTCCAAAGGATATCACTGACAAAATTTAAGCAGACCAGGTCCAAAATTTGTAAAGTTGCCTTTTGGCTATGACAAGAGCCATCAGGAGGAAAGATGAATGGAGTTAATTCATTTGACGGAAAGGGTATGAAAATAATTCAAGATTGGAAACTGAGGTTATGTGGTACTGTATGTACATGTGGTCTTTGTTTTTTGCTACCAGGCTGGGCTTTTGAAGTGAATTATAGCCTGTATAAATACAGTTTTATACACATTTGAAAGTTGTGAGGTGTATTTTTATGTTGTGATAGGTGGAGAGTATAGTTGTCTGAGAATTCGTCCCCAGTCATCCCTTATGAGAAAAAAAGAGTTATTCCAATCAACGAAAGTTGTAGAGTGGTTTTCAATTGAATGTCGAAAAATAATTGGATTAATATCGTTTCGCCACAAGATTGGCTTAAAAAGGGTGTACCACTTTTTCATCCAATCAGAAGTAAAACCCAAACCAATCGTAACTCGCTCGCACACGTTTTCCCGCGCTTTGCGTCAGCCCCATGTAATTACTTCGAGTTTTGATTGGTTCACTGTATTGTCTGTGTTCTTTGTGATTGGCTGGAGTGATTACTTGGGTTTTGGTTTTACGGCACTCAACTGAAAACCGCTCAATAGGGGATGTTGATAGAGTATGATTTATTAACTGGGCGGTAACAGCCCAGTTCTTGTAACAAGAAATGTTTGATTTTGTTGTTGCCCCCGACTTTCGGTGAGGCCGATCACGCGATGACGCAACAGTAAAAATATGCGCCAAAACTTTTAGAGCAAAGCTTCTCGAAGTGTTGTGCTCCAGTATGAAACAACACTTATTCTATGAGAACACGTTGTTCTTAGGGACAATGACCCGTTGTTCTGAAAACCAGTTAGGATTAACAATGTAATAATGTCGCTTTCGCTCCTGAGTTGGTTGGAAAAAGCATGTATCCCGTACATAGCGCAGGTCCTTTGGATGCTTAGACAACAACGAGTTGGGCCTGGGAGCCACTCTCCCCAGTATCCATTCATCTCCACCGTTGCTAGGCGAGTCTGACATCATCACCTCTTCTGAGCGTCGGTCACGTGTTAGTGTTCGAGGGTCTGGGCCGCGTAACCTCTGCGCACGTGCAGCGCTAAAGGAACTGGCTATTTTTGAAAGTGACGTCGACTGTTGTATCGATCCAGACATCTCAGCCTGGCTGCGTCGAGGCCCAGAAGACTGCGAACATTGACATTCTTTCAATTGCTTATGCCCTGCTGAGGTTCTTGCACCGGGTGTATTTTCTGATACGCACATTCTCTCCATCTGCAAATCATGATTTTCCACTGATCCCTCCCTTGATAAACTTCTTTCTGTGGGAGTTGAAAAAACCTCTGGAAGTTTTACGGACGATCTACCTTTCCTTTCGAAAGGACCACTGCGGCCTGACAACGGTGCTTTCCGGCACGCTGTTTTTCCCACGAGGTACGTCCCCTCTGGCTCGTAGCTTGTCATTCTCGCGGCAAATGGTGGTCTTAAATGCGTTAGCTTGGTAGTGCCTTCATCTCTGGCTGCTACAGAAGGTCTGCGAGGTTCATACCATGTGTATTTCGGTACTTGACTGTACAACACAGGCGCTTCAGAGTTGCAGTATCTGGTGGTGTACTCCGTGTGAAATGGCTTGGTGCGAAACCTGCTGAAGTAGCTTTTATACCCTGGATACAAAAGCTCCATGTTTACAAGTTATTCCAGTAAAGCTGGTGCACTGTGGATGTGTTTGCTCAGTACAGAGCAATCGAACTATCTCAGTTATGACCTGTTTGTTCTTCGACGTGGTTGTGGTCGATTTCGGCGACAAATTTTACATATACTTTCTCTCAAACGTCTAGGCTAAAATTTCAATTCCACACACTTTGAACACGTGATTTTTGGCCTCAAAAAAAAATACTTATCTCTAAACATCCAAGGCTTTTTTGAAAACTTCTTCCACCAACTTTCAAGCCTAGACTTTAAGAATGTCCTTGTAAACAGACAGGCCTACGACAACAATTCACGATAATTGCTGTCCCTATTGTCAACGGAACCAGTTGCTATGGATGGTGCGTTAACAATTATAAATTTTTAATAGGAAATGTCTATGTTAATAACATGCTCAGTGGGTATGTGGCTCTATTATGAAATACATTAAAGACCAGTCAGTTTTAAATGGTTATTTATATCATCATCCTAAGTGAATAATATTCGGTATCATGCAAAAATGTTTGAAACACAGATGATCTTTACAGTCGTTATTGTATCGATACTTCGTCAAGAAAAATGGATACTTTATAACGAACAACTTTGTTCGATTTTAATTCATCGTGCATGTCCCTTCAATTCAAATAAACGATCTTTGACTTGAGCTATTTAATGCCAGATTAAGTTAAGTGAAGCTTAGAATAGATTATGGCGTGTGGGAGGCAAGGCTCCTGGAGTGAAACCCATTGATCTTAGTTTCAAGCTATTTTTTAATGAATTCGTTGCCGATGCTTTCATGGTGGGAAGTAATGATCATGGTGAAATAGCTCCGTCGATATCGTTCACTGGCATGGTTTCGTGTGTGATTGGTTTTATCATCAGTAGAGTATGTTTCTAATTTGTGTTTGTTAGAGTTTATGATTATGTTGTCTCTTTGACTTGATTGGCGCCAATCCGTCACCTGCAGCAGCGGATACTTAGGTATCTCTATATGCAGTTTTAAGAAGTTAAACAACTTCAAAATGTATTCACCACTTTTTACATAATAATGGAGCCAACCGCTAATTTGAGTTTCATAGGACTCGCGAACAACTTTGAATAAAAATATACTTAAAGAAATTGAAAATAGAAGAAAACTAATAATATAAGTATAATAACTGGTAAAATGCGTCGAGGTCTTGTTTACACGTCTCCTGGAGAAACCGCTTCTCCTTTAAGAAAGAGCTTTCGTCAAGTTTTATTAAGCTGTGCATAATTCAACAACAAGTTACCCAGCCAAGAACTCCAGCAGTGACGGTAGCAGATGTAATCCTAATGTTCCCACGGTGCATTTACGCAGGAATCATGAACTGATTGAATACGATTATTTTCTCTTTTAAACACCGTACCGATAATTAGCAAAAACACTATTTGAGCACTATCCGTTCGAGAAAGGAATAATTTTTGTCTATCTCAATTCGCAATTCACGATTTTCATGATAGAACCCTAAAGCAGCAGTTTGTACTGTTATGGAGGCTAAATATGCGCGTATGCTTGCCCGGGCTGGGGGTACTCCCAGAACAACTGGGTGGGGGTGTGCGGCCCGCTTCCCAAAACCCTTACCCTATATTATTTAAGACCAAAATCTGCGATTTTCCTTCCCGTATTTATCGCCTGACCAAAAATGTGGTACCCTCATGACTAGTTCCCTTGTTCAGACCGATGTTAAAGACATTGTGAAGGGCTTCAGTTGTTGATGGTCATATCGTTAATGATGAAAAAGTAGCTTCTTCTCAGTAAGAAACTTACCCACTATCCAAGACCCTCTGAGAGTGCAAAAACCATAACATAGCAAAATGGTCAAAATCGTTATCCTATTTCTGGCCAAAACGGCTCAAAAACCATACTCTTCGGGGCCGCACATACCCTTATAGCCCATATAAGGGAGTACCCCCGAGTATGCTTGGTCCGTCTACAGCACGTCTGCTTGAGAGACAGGAAAAGTACAAAAACAAATGAAATGCAAACAAGGCATAAAAGCATTCAAAAAGAAATCAGTAAGCCAACGTTATCTTAAATTTCCAGCTACAGAGAACAAATCAGATAATTTTAAAATCCGATAGTGGTAGATAACGTCTACAATCACAACGAGCTGATTGAACGATTCAATGAAATCAACTACGAGTAGACATTGACCGATAATTGGAGATAATAAGGATCCGTCGCCTTAACTAAACAGGCGACACAGAGAATTACTACTGCTGTATATGTTCTGATAGATTTTCAAGGCAATGGCTGCTGTGCCAGCCCGAACTGTCAAAATCAAGGTTATACAGTTTTCAATTTTCCCCTCAATTTAAATGAAATACTATTAAAGACCATCCCTTCCCCCTGTCGGAAAAACCGGCCTACTTCGGTTTAGCGTAATTTCGGAGGAAGTGGGGTCTCATTTATCTTTTTTTCGTCCAAGATTGTAACTCTACAGCTGTCACTGAGATGAAGAAAGGAATTGGGAATCAAACAACCTGCCTCGTTATGACGTCAGTAATCTTTCCCCGCTTAGACAAAGTATAGGCGGATTTAAACGTGTGCATGCGGGCTCTCGAACAAAAATCGACAAAAAGCCAAAATGAAAAACAAAATTAAAAAAATGAATAAAATAATAATAATAATAATAATAGTAATAATAATAATAATAATAATAATAATAATAATAATAATAATATGTATCCTGAAAAATACCTGTTTTATTTTGCTATGAACAAATCGGGATTGGTGTGAGTTGAAATTTAGTATTTACAATTCAGTAAATTCCTGCATATGTAAACAAGTTGACAGAGTAAGTTATCTCCACAAATAGCAGCGTTCTGAATATTTCATCGTCAGTTCAAGTGGGTGATCTTTGTGCCTCTGACGCCATGATGCTTCTTGAGACGAACTTAGCCAAACAAAGTATTTTTCCGAATGAAGTGATTCCTACGTTCCGATACCCAGTCCGGACTTATTACGAAGAAGCTTCGAGTTGGTTCTTTTGCCGGATGGAAGAAGCACTGTTTGTCGATATAACGAAAGTCTTTTGGAAATCGAGAAAGCTCGCTCTGCGGTCTTCTTGCCACCAGACTTTGAGGTCGTCTGAGGAGTTCTTCGGTGCTTGGTCTATCGCGCCCCGAAAATGCCGACAGCGAGCTCGTAGATCTACGACCGCTGCTTCGGCTCAGCTCGGAAATGTTACTGCACGGCCTTTGTTGAGCGCTTCTAGCCCTCGTAGTTGGTGATGGTTGCAGTCCTTGAAGGTTTATCCTGGCAGGATAATTTCGTTTTTGGTGAAACGGCAACTGAACTGCTCGAGATGTTTCTGGTTTCTGTGCTTCGTCCCAAGCTGTCATCCTTACACACTTCCTCAATCCTGTTGGAATTCGGACATTCTGTATTGGAATTCGCTCCCCCGTGAAACTTGTCGTATACTCACTTTTGTAGGTAACCTTGCTGATAGTTTCCTGTAGAAACCCAGGTTCGCTTCCATACTTTGCCGGCATTTTTCGTTAATGTCTCCCCAAGACCAAAACTAAGGTTGCTTTTGTTGAACGCGACCGACGATTTGGGTCACTAAGCAGAACGTACTCGGCACTGTAAAATCAGAGCGATTAAGGTCGCGCCAGTTCTAAGTAAGCTTCTTAACAGCTTGCTTTCTCAAATCACCCAAACAAAACTCTGTCTCGCGCTGTTAATCTATTTTTGTGAGTTTCATCTCAACTGCCTCGTCAGTCGATCAAAATTTCGTGAGGCAGACACTGTTGCGTTACTTGTTGCTCATAGCAACGAAGATCGTTTACATATCTCATCTACTGAGCTTAAGTCTTTAATTCCGGCCTTTATTGTTATGCAATTATTGTCACTCTTTTCAGGAATTATTCAAACACAACTGTGTTAAGAAGTTGTTTATGAACTGATCCAGAACAGCAAGGACAAAACCTGTCGGTCTTTTACTTATCGCGAACCCTAAATGTCCACTGAGCCAGTTTTTAATTCAGCTTCATTTCCTGTTTACTGAAGACAGTTGCAAACATTCATTTCTCGAAGCTGATCTTTTGGTGTCAAGGATATCGCTTTCAATGGCATGTCCATTCATGTCGGCGAAGGACTAATTATAATTTAAATTCTCGTGTATCTTATTGGTTCACAGCGTAACCCTTGAAAGGTCCCATTTGGTAATCGTCGGGCATTGTTTGGGGACAGAAAGGAGAGATCGAAATTGAACTTATCCTTGACAAATAAATTTGGCTGAGCATGATGTAATAAGAATGACTTCGCTGTTTTATGTTGCGCACAATAAACACGTGTTAAGTAGCATAGTTTTAAGTTGTTTTAAAAGTGTCAGATAAGTGGTTTCTGACGCACTGTGATATTTACGTGCAGTAAGCCAAAACCAATAGCATTTTTTTTACAATGTTTAATTACCGCGAGGCAGTTTTCAATCAATATCAATCCTGAAAACTCGCGAGTTAGCTGACGTAACATGCGTCTACATTGTGTATGTGTTACTGAATATGCGCACATTTCATTACACACGCAGCTTGTATCGTGTAAGCGTTGTTTTACAAATTTCCTGGTTATCTTACAGAGTCAAGAAACCACAACAAGGCGACAATCTATCACTCATGCAATAAAATTTACATTACGTTTAAAATCTAGAGTGTAGATCGCGTAAACAATTAGGGGCCGTGGATTGGACTATATGAGTGCGAGATTGACTTCGAGGACAATTTTCGAAATTCAAACCATTAACGTTTCCACAACCCTCGCTCTTCATGTTGGTTTTAGGTAGAGAGGGCAGCTCATGCGATGAGATGGGTATGTGATGTGATAATGTGGAGCCTGCAAACGTTCTCGCACTCGATCTCGTACTCGCACTTAATCTTAAGTCTCCTATTGACACAGTGAGCCGACCCCTAAACACAATCACAACAGTGAAAGTCCAACACTGACCACAAGTCAAAATGAAAATTTAAGAGAAAGGATTGTTCTTCCGAACTGATCTCTCAGAAACCCAGTCCGGCCTTACTGTGAAATACGTTCGCCTCTCCCTGGTGCTACTGTAAAATGCGTTGCTATGCAAGAACACGTAGTCTCCAAGCCCTCCGTTTCTTGCCGCGGGAACAAATCCCGGCTGGAAGCTCTCCCGAGGCTGGTTACGAACATATTCTGGCGCGCGACGATACATGAAGCTAGAGGCAAGTTTGATGTGTGACTGAACAAGTTTCACCTTCGGTGTAAAACTGTAACGGTACTCGGACCTCGAGGGGTCAGTCTTGTTGACTGTCATAGAGAGAAGCGGAGGTAACTTTATCTTCTCAGGCATGTCTTCTCGATCAGTGGGCATCTGCTAGTTCATCACTCGACCTTTACCTCGTGACGAAGCTGCTTTAACTTTCAGTTGCTGTTGCAACTATGAAATATAGTTGGTACTGATCTTTCAAGCAAACAAGGGTCAAGTTGCCGTCTGCTTTCTTAGTGAACACAGTTCTTCTCAATGATTCCACGCTTGAGACTCTAGATATTTACCGTAAAGTTTCTTGTCCTTCTACTAGTGAAATGCCCTCTTCCGAGAACGTCGCGTCTTACGGAGTGGCGTTTCTCAACGCACAGTATGTCGCCCTAAAAAGATAGCGAGATTTGTTTGCAAATTCAATTCAGTTTGTAACTTAGGTGAAGTGTTTGTACACTGCACTTAAGTCAAGAGGCCTCTTGGGTATAACTCTTTGTACAAAGCAGCTATAATCTCTTCACACAAAGTATTTTATTGTTGTCATGGTTTAACGCTCGAAGTCATCACATAATGAAGTACTCTCCTAGTAAACAACTGTAAGTTGAATATTCGAAACTCAAGAAAAAGCTCCAAGTTCAGTCTTCAAGTCTTCCTTTTGCACAGTGAATAAAGAAGCACTTAAAATGACGTAGTTTAAAAGATTCCCTGGGAATGAAACTGGACGAATAGTACAAGAAAAGGATCAAGGAGCCACCAGGAGGTATTCGACTCGAACCCAGTTCTTCCCCGTCTTTTGATCGAGACTGGCGCACTCAGATCGATACACACGCAGCAGGTCACACAAGCTATTCATTTAAGACTTCATCCTAACAATATCATCATACCAATATCATGGTGGTTGTTGTTGTTGTTGGATAGTGAAATTAAGGTTCCAGAGGCATGGATGCTATAATTTAACGCTAACAACAACAACGGTAACATCAATATGAGACAGGAGCATAGAGACGATACGAGACATCAAATGAATGAATGAATGAATGAATGAATGAATGAAT